GATTTCTTCCAAATACAATTAAATCATCTAGGTAGACAAAACATTTTTCATAATTTAAACCAGACATTGCTATTGTCATTAGTCGTGAAAAAGCTCTGGGACTTGTTTTTAAACCCATCGGCAACCTTTTCATTTGAAACTGCCCCTGGTTTGTAGTAAAAGCTGTATAAGGTCGACTTTGTTGTTCTAATTCTACCTGGTAGTATCCCTGACTCAGATCTAAATGAGAAAAATATATCGCTCCCGCTAATGAATCTAAAATATCTGTTATATTCGGTAAGGGAAATTTATCGTCCTCAATTTTTTGATTAAGTAACCTATAATCGATAACTACCCTCCATTTCTCTTCACCATTTCTATCATTTTTCTTTGGAACTAGAAGAAGTGGTGACGAATATTCGCTTTTAGATTCTTCTATTATATCATCTTTTAACATGTTACGTATTTGTTTTTCGATTTCTAGTTTTTGTGTTTGTGGAATCCTATAGGGTTTGACATAAATAGAACTTGTATTATCCTTCAGTTTAATGGATTGTTTATATAAATTAGTAGTCGATAATTTATCTTCTGGTAAATGAAATATATCAGCGTATTTAGCACAAATATTTTCAATTGTTTTCTGTTCTTGTGGATTTAACGACTTTAAGTTTAACAAATTTAATAACTTTTCTACTCTATCAGCCAGAACTGTATTTCTCTCAAATTTACATATGTTATATTCACATAATCTTTGCAACTCAGGTACACAGTTTTTCAAACATACTTCAGTTTCTCTTGTATTGAGAATTTTGACCGGAATTTTACCATTTTTTGGTCTAACAATACTGTTGGCAATAAAGACTTCAGGACATAATTCTTTTGACACAATAACACAATCTTCTTTAATTTTTGTCGATAACCAAAAAACAAACTCACATCGCGGTGGAATTGCAATAATATCATCATTATCAGAACGTAACGGTATTATAGTTTCTTTATTAAAATGTGACAGAAGTAAAGTATCCTTTTCAAAATCAATAACTCCTCTAAACTTTTTCAGAAATTTTTTACCTATAATGCCATTTGTTGAACACGATAAATTTTTAAATACGTAAAATTTTTGAACAAAATATTTTCCATTATATTTCAATTTTAAATGAACGTACCCTTCTGAAAAAATATAACCTGTAATCCCCTTAATTTTCAATTTTTCTTTTATTATTTCATTATCGCTAGATAAACATTCATGCTTAATAGCACACAATGAAGCTCGCGTATCTACTAAAAAACTAAAATTATTATCGTTTACTCCAAAATTTACCCATGAGGTGCCATTGCATTCACAAATTTCATTAATTATTACTTTCTCGAAAAAACTGGTGGTTACGGGTTCCTACTTCTGTGTTTTGTTTCGTCGTTTCTTGGACATGATTAATTTGTTTATTTGATTGGTATTTACGAAATGAATTGTTGTTATGGTTATGATTAAAAACTTTCCCTGTTGAGTATTTGTTTCTATTAAAATTACGATTTGTGTTTGATGTATTCCCTCTTGCATAATTTGATCCATTTGCGTTATTATCTCTACCAAATTTGTGTGAATAGTTCCAATTTTTATGTGAATAATCCGAACCTTGGTTTGATTTATATTTCTTGCTAGCGTTATTATAATTCTGTTTATTGTGATTTGCTGTCATAATTTGATTTTCTGGACCGAAGCGTGATATTTCTTCATCCTGCGCTACTTGAATCGCGTCTTTAAGAGATGAAAAATTTCTAGATGCAACAATGATACTTAATTTTTGATTACGCAAGCCATCCGCGAATCTCTTAATAGCATTTTTTTCATTCACTGATTTTAAAATATTAAATGCTGTCGAATCGCCAATTTTCGCCATTAGCTTGTGATATAGTAAGATTAACAAATATTTCTTCTATTTCTTTACCAAAATCTGAAACGGATTTATTTCCTTGTGTGGCGCGCATTAATTTCGTTTGCAAAGCGGTATCGCTTTTCCTTGTAATCAAATGTGTTTTCATATCCGATATGAGCAAAGCAACACTATCGTAATTCGATTTAAGTCTAAGTTTCGCACCAACTGAAAGACGTGTTTTCAAGACAAAATTTATTAAAGAAGGTTTACCGGTTGATTCTAACATAGTATCGTAAAGTTCTATTGCGTCAATCAATTGCATTGTTACAGCCTCATCATCATTCATGACAGGTAATAGACTAACAGCCGTTTTAAGATCAAATGCCATCTTGGAGCCGACACTCGTACTGGTACTTTTTGAAAAATTTAAAATTTCTTTGTATATCTTTCGTATCTCACCGTTTAGTGCATTTAATTTTTGAATATCTTCGTCAGTATACTCCTTATTTGTTACATCTAATTTAACCTGCTTGTAGTGCTTGTTTACCTGATCTAAACATTTATAAATTTGATTTGCTTCATTTATCTTCCTATTTACACACTCAATAGTGCGCCTATCCCGACCGATTTTTATTAAATAAGTTCTTATCTCTTTTAATTTGTTATGAATGCCCGTTAATTTTAACTCCATCAAAAGTTTCTCAACCTTTCATACCAAATTAGCATATCAAACATTTTACGCTAAATCAAACAATAATTACAACGATCAGCAATAACAATGAACCCAAGTTTTATATCTAACATGCAAAAAAAAAATGCTCGATGCAATAACTAGTTAATTTGCTGAAGTTCCAATGTTCATTTCCTACGAGTGAAAATGTACTTTGCACTTCCTTTGACCGATGTTAACCCGACATATTTCCTTTTTGAAAACCTGTTACAATACCTTATGCGCAATTTCACGAACTTAACCACTTTTTCCCACTTTCAATAGATTAAAACTTAACTTGATTTTCACTTTCCATTCAATCACTGCACGGTAACACTACATCACTATGCCTCTGTAGTAGCGTCCCTGGAATGCTCCAATTCATTCTTATGGATTTCTTGACGTACCACTTTTCTTAGCATTTTCTTACACTTTTTGATTCCCAGCCATAGTAATAAAATTACCAACACAACCGTCAAACAGATTAAGATCCAATCCGTCTTCGTTATGGTCGCATCCCCGCTTGCTGTTTGCGCAATTATGACTTCTTCTTTCGACGTTTTACTGCCCATGTCTTATTTTCCTCTGACAACGGGTTTCAGTTTCAATTATCCTGGAATCATCATTTAGGCACTGGCAGGATCGCCATGTAATATCCAACGTTTCTTATGCCGTTTCATGTTTGTTGTCTGCTTACATTTAGGCACTGAGTACGGGGGGGAAGGGTCACAGAAACGCAGGTTGCGTTTTAGAACTTTATTCTAACACTACCTAATCCACACTATCCAACTGTACAATCACCTCTTATATATATATATTCCTTACGTTAACAATTTTCCCTACTCATTTTATTGACACTATACTACAATATTGTACACAACACGTTCGTGAAGCCTGCTTCCCGCATTCTCGCAACCGTTCATGCGGGAAGCAGGCTATCCCGAACTAGTTTTTCCCTTCAAATCAGACACAGCACATCCCAATTTCACAATGTGAGAATACAATACAATAATAGAATAGATAACTGTTATTATTCCACTGTAATTTATCCATGTGCTTTACAACGCATTCATATTTTTCCATTATTGTTGGTACGATACATCAATCAATGCACTGTATGTAATAAACAAAACTAAAGTATGATTAATTAATGAATGCATAAAAAAGTCTCTTCTGGAAACTTTACAAGAATAACGTGTACTACATTAGCCGATAAGCAAGGCGGAGTGACCGTCGTCGTCGCGCTTAGACATAAACAATTCATCCAAATAAGTATATAAACAAACGTTTGTTACATCACTGAATGTTGAACAAAAGTGTGGTCTAGGGTTACTTACGCACAACTTCCCTCGCCCTTGAAATACAGTCGAACAAATACCTAGTTTAGCTTTGTCTTGATAATGCCAACGTGGTTGGCGAAACGCGTCGACAAATACACTTCCCACAAAAATTATCGCACCCCCTCCAGTTCTAGTGCACCGCACTATTTGTAGCTACCATGTATATATAGGGATAAATTTATGCAACTCAATGCCGAATAATGACAATATTTAATTTGATTTTGACGGATATGTTTCTCCTACAGAATACTGGCTACTTTAATGTTTCCTCGACATTTCATGACCCATAGAGAGTATAAAAAATTAGGTCTCGGGGCTCAGTCAGTGTAGCGTCTGTTCAGATTTCAATTAGGCAGATAATCTCCGAAAATATCGGACTGATTGTATTTTATATCTATGTTAGGAATATTGTGTAAATCATAAAAATTTGCCTAATCTCCCTGTCAATGTAATGACATCTCAAAAATGTGTATGATGAATTTTATAAAATAGCAAACAAATGTTTTTGTTTTATAGAATACAAATTCGCAAAATCAATTTTTTTAATTTTTCAAAGAAGCGGGATTTGTGGCACTGTACTTCGGAGGCAAGGGATGTCCTGTCAAAATAACTTTCGACCAATTTTTTAAATAGCTGCTATAAAATCATTTATAGACTTTTTGGATTTGTGGTGTATCGGTATATTTTTTTCTGAATTTGGTTAAAGAAAATTTCACTCTGAGTACGAAAATAATGAAATAATATGTGAAATTATTAGATACAGTTAGTTCAATTAATAATTGAATAAATTGAGTTAATAATTCCACTTTAAAAATTCCATCTTGCTGGAGTTGAAGTTAAAGTAGTTATTTGTACATTGTTACTCTAATAATAATAATCATAATTTTTTATTTTTCTAAGAGATCATTCCAATGTTGTTGTGTTTAATTTCTTTTAAATAAACACTTCAGTACTTTTGAAATATATATCTAGTTCTAGAATTATAATCTTTGTATCTTGCTGAAGAAGTAACACTGCAACCCACCATTCAGTCATAAAATTGTTTCTTCGCGCGCCTAAAAATACGACATGATTACGTAACTTAACACTCAACATTTGTTGATCAACCAGTTTGTTAGATCGCGCCAGTTCGTGAAACATGGAAGCGCTAAAAGCACGTGCCGACCTAATATCCCACATCGAAACCGTTTCTAAAGAAAACGGAATCAACAATTACATTATTACCGATGTACAAACAAACCAGAAAGGTGAGGGGTACCTTGGACAAATATTTCTAGTCAGTGTTAAGGACGCGAATAACGATAAACAACTGGAAATCGCCGTAAAAGCAGCCTTCACGGACGAAAAAGTGCGAGCTATGGTGCCTATCAGAATATCTTTTCTAAATGAAATTTATTTTTACACTAACTTGTTGCCGACTTTTCAAAAGTTCGAAAAAGAACGTGGACAATCTACGTATGTTGAGTTTGTGCCTAAGTGTTTTAATGTTTCGGCGAAAGAACCAGAGGAGGTGCTAATTTTGGAAAATTTGAAAGCTTCCGGGTTTGAGATGTTTGATAAAAAACTTGTTTTGGACGAAGACCACGTTCGATTGATTTTTAAAACGTATGGGCGGTATCATGGTTATTCATTTGTTTTGCGTGATCAGAATCCTGAGGAGTTTGAAAGGCTCTCTAAAGGATGCTGTAACGTTTATAACGAATTTTTAAAGAATGACTTCTTTATTAATCACATGGGTGAGTTAGTTAAAATGGCACAAGGCACACTGTTACCTGGAGAAGACGATGAAGTTATTGAAAAATTTGGAAAATATGGCGATATAGACCTGAGGGACATTTTTAAGGACGCTATATCAGAAGAAATGGATTACTCAGTGATTTTGCACGGAGATTGTTGGAGCAATAATATGATGTTCAAATATGAAGTAAGTCGTACACAAACATTGCATTCTTTTGTATAACCCATTTAAATTCATCTTAATTAATTACTCGACAAAAAATGACTTGTCTTGCTACTCGAGAATCAACTTTGAATAAATTAACTTAGTCCTAATTTTCTAACAATTAGCATTCTTTACAGAAATCAGCGAACACGAAAAAGCTCATCGACATTCGATTGATAGATTTTCAAGTGGTGCGAATTGGTAGCCCTGTGTGTGATTTGTCGTACTGTCTGTATTCCGGAGCATCGAAGGAAATATTTGACAAATTGAATGATTATCTTAAAATTTACTACGACAGTTTTGCAACTTTTGTGAAAAGCATGGGCAATGACCCTGAAAAACTTTTCCCATTTTCGGCTTTGAAAGATCAGTGGAAAAAATATTCCAGATTTGGTTTGATCGTGTCTCTTGCAATTATAAGAATGAAGTTGACTAACACTGAAGATATTCTTGATTTAACTGATAATGTTGAAATCGATCAGATGGTTGATATTATGGCGAAACAAAAATTCGATGAAGAAGGTTACAGAAAAAGGATGCGAGAGCTTTTGTGGCATATGTGTGAACTAGATGCACTGTGACAGAATTTTATTAACAACCTGTGGTGAGAAAATCGGCACAAAATAAGAGTTACAAATTATTCAGCTTTGCAATTATTGTTTAATAGCTATGACACTGTATTGCATGATTAATTCACAAAATGCTTTTCAAAAAGAAGCTTCTGACATTTATGACGCGATAAGTGTAATGTAAAGAACATCATAAATTGTAATAAATTACTTATAAATAACTAGATTTATCAAACCTCTATACCCCTTATGTTTACTCTAATTTTCTAAATATCTCTCTTAGATACCCTTTTGATGTACGGATGGCATAGAACGTGTAGGTAGGGTGCAATGGGAATATGATTGCCAGATGTTCGAGATTGTATTTTGTTTAAGAACCTCATACCTCTCTCTTCTAAGCATTTGTTTACGTACAATAATCTTAAATAAATGAAATGAGTGCGATAATTTCGCATTATCTAATTTAAACGGGTGAGGTGATAAGTTAAGTTAAAATTACTGTCGCAGATAAAATAACATTATTATTATGTATTTTTTAATGTTAATAATTTATGGAATTTGGTTTTATCCTTATTTTTAAAGAAATGAAATATTGTTTCTGATGTTTTAAACACAAGAAGATAACTAAGAAATCGTTTTCAATAAGTTGTTATTATTTTCCGAGCGTAAACTAAGGAAGTATTGGAAGTAGGTCATATCATTGGTTAAAAATTTGTGCGTTGGATTGGTAAATAAGATTTAAATTTTATAAAATAATATTCTTCTGTATTTGAGATTTATGAATCCGCCTTGAGGATTTCTCGAGCCATCAAAATTTTCGCAAAAAATTTAAATTGTGTAAAAATGTAAGTGAAGTTCGCGTAAGGACAGTCGACAGCGCAGTGATTACTGTGGCTGATTTTGGTCATAAAACAGCGTGCAAGTACCGCGTTCCATTCTTTCATGGGTCATTTTTTCTTACACTTATTGTTATTATCTGTTATACATCTTTTAATGTATATAGAGGTTATTACAAATACAATTTCGCAAAATCAAATTTTATAAGTTTTCGAAAAAGCTTGATATGTACTACTGTACTTCAGAGGCAGGGAAGTTCTCTCTAAATAAGCTTATACCAAGTTTTTCAAATTTGTATATATGTATAATGATGCAGTTTAACGTTTTACTCGGAATACAGTTGAGATTTTTGCTGGAAAACTTAGAAATTTAAACACAAATCTCGCTTTTTCAAAAAATTATACTGTTTATGGTAACTTCTATTTATACATAAAAAATGGCGAATAGCAGTAATAGTGTAAGAGAAACAGAGAGGTCACTGAATCGGAATCGAGGGCGCAACAATTTTTGCATTCCAACTCTGAGGCAGTACCGTTGGCCACGGCGCTACGGAACCAACGTTTGCACCATCACTTATAACTAAAAGGATGTTATACGTGTTAGGGATGCCTTTAGTTCCCCTAGTGACAGAAGGGGTTCACAAGAGGGTTTGACCTGAATCACCAACACTGGCGAGAGTGTATGGCGCAGGACAGCCGAGAACAGCCGAACGAGTGCGTCTGCGCGGGAAAAACAGGAGTAGTCATGTTGTTGGTTGAGACAGCCATTAGCGCGTACAAAAGATCCGAGCAATAAAGAAGTTTAAACAAGTGGTCGTTTACCCTTATCACAACCCCTAATCATTACATCAGAAGTGGGATTCACGATTCAACTACAATGGCGGAAGGATCCCCAGCATCACACACCTCGGTGGAGGAACGAATTGAACCACTGGCGTCGGTCGACGGGGGGCGAGCGTCAAGAAGCTGAAGATGAAACAGGTGGTTTAAGCAGTCCACAAGTTAAAATGGATTGGCAAGAAACTTTGGTATCACTTATGGCCGCCCAGCAGCAGCAATTATTCGAGCTAACGCGTCGTACCAATATGGCGACCGAAATACCTACAATGACTTCGGGCCGCACCCAGCCATCGACTTCGTCTGTTGTTTCTTTCCGACTAGCAGAATTCGATCCCGAGGAAAATGATCATCCGATAGAAGAGTGGTTAGCTGTAGCCACTAGGTTAAAAGAAGAAGAGCATATCGGAGATGGACTTATGATAGCAAAGGCTGGCGAAGCCCTTAAGGGAAGTGCTCATCGCTATTACTGTAACTGGCGACCAGTGCTTCGTACATGGGACGAATTTTGTAAGGATCTAATTGTTGCTTTTCCGGATCGTCAAACCGCTGGTGCGCGTGCTTTTACCGCCGCAACTTTGCGAAGCACCGATTGTGAGTCTTTAAGCGAATACGGAATTCGTAAGCTGCGAGCCATCGATCGTTTCTACGCAGCCCTACCGTGGAATATCAGATTGAGCATGGTTGAATATGGGCTCAATCATGGTGAAACGCAGGCCGCCATTCGTATGCAACAGCCGGGTACGGATCGCGAACTTTTAAAAGTACTGAGTGAATACGACGCGCGTCGTCGAAAAGGTCGTAAAACGCAAGCTCCGCGATCAACCGAGCCGATCAGTTTGGTCGCCCCCGAGAAGCGTCAAAAAAGAGGACCTAAAGGCGTATGTTACAGATGTGGTCAAAAAGGCCACCACAAAGCTAACTGTGACATAAGACTCGACAAAGATCAAAAAGGTGAAAATTCTGCGCCTGCAGAAAAGAGTGCTAGTGGAAGCAGACCACCAACTTGTACCCACTGCCACAAATTGGGCCATACAGTACCAAATTGCTGGTATAAACACGGTAAGCCCAAAAGAGCTCTTGTGTTTAAGAAGTGACGCCAACTTCAAACAACACCGCTCGCTACAAAGTTGTGTAGTGGAAGTACACTTGAATGTGTGTACCTCATCGATAGTGGCGCGGATGTGTCCCTTATCAAACATTCTATAGTAAAGATATTAAATGGTATAGTCGTGCCTGAACATACAGTACGTGCTTTTATGGGTCTCGGTACGACAATTGTGCACGGTATTGGTACATGCGAACTTCTCGTTGTGTTGCCGACAGTGACGTTGGAAATTGCTTTTGTGGTTGCACCGGATGAAGTGATTCCGGGTAAGATCGACTTAATTATTGGCTGGGACGTGATTAGTCGACCTAATTTACGCGTCGAAAAAAATGTTGACGGCCTTGAGCTACACCATGACCTAGGCCAACTTCAAAAAGTCCTTACTGTGCAGTCTACGTCCGATGTAACAATAAACCAACACGAAATTGCTGACTTAAGGCCAAAAATAGAACAGATGTTAATTTATTACCGAAACAAAACACCAACTCATATTACGACTGGAACGATGACCATAAAATTAAAAGATCGTAAACCAGTGGTGTATCACCCTCGTCGGTTGGCTTATGAAGAAAGGATTGAGCTAAAAAAAATCGTGACTGAACTTTTAAAAGACGGTGTTATTCGCGAAAGTCATTCGGATTATGCTAGTCCTGTAGTACTTGTGAAGAAGAAAAATGGCGAAACTAGAATGTGCGTGGACTACAGAGACTTAAACAAGCGAGTCCTGAAGGAACTGTATCCCTTGCCGAACATACAAGATCAAATCAACGCACTTTACCATGCAAAATATTTCACGATTTTGGACATGAAGTCTGGTTTCTACCAGATGGAAATAGAAGAAGGGGCTAAACACGTGACGGCTTTCATTACACCTGATGGGCATTACGAATTCAACAGAATGCCTTTTGGATACGTCAACGCTCCAGCGATGTACCAACGCGCTATAGACAAAGCTTTGGGTGATCTAAAAGGTACGAAAGCGGTTGTCTACTTGGATGATGTCATGGTACCGTCCACCACAATAGAAGAAGGAATGACCAACCTAGAAGAAGTGTTAAGTGCTCTCGCTGAGGGTGGTTTTTCCTTAAATTACAAAAAGTGTACGTTCTTCGCAACGGAGACCGAGTACTTGGGCGTCGTCGTAAGTGAAGGATCGATCCGCCCTAGTCCTCGAAAAGTGACGGCACTGACTCAAACTCCGGCGCCTTCGGACTTAAAAGCTGTCCGGCAGTTTATGGGACTTGCCAGTTATTTCCGCCGGTTCATTAAAGATTTTGCGACGTTGACCGCTCCAATAACGGCGCTACTGCGTAAAAATCAGACGTTTGAGTGGACAATGCAATGTGAAAGTGCACGCCAAATGGTAATCGCAAAATTGTCGAGCTCTCCAATTTTGAGAATTTATAATCCAGAACTAGAGTGTCAACTACACACAGATGCAAGCTCGGTAGGACTTGGTGCAGCACTTCTTCAGGAAGAAAATGGTGTCGTGCAACCTGTAGCGTACTTTAGCCGCAGAACTACAGACTGTGAATCAAGGTATCATTCTTACGATTTGGAAACCTTGGCGATTGTAGAAGCTGTGGAACATTTCCGTGTTTATTTGTACGGCAGACATTTTACAGTGTACACCGACTGTAATTCGGTACGAGCGACCGCGCTGAAAAAGAACTTACACCCACGCGTGGCTCGCTGGTGGCTCAAATTACAAGATTACGATTTTTCCGTGGAATATCGGCCGGGCCATAAAATGGCTCATGTGGATTATTTGAGTCGAAATCCCCTTGACCTTGATGACGAAAGCAACTTGAAAGTGTGTGCGTTGAAGACGTTAAATGCTACGAAAGTATCGGACGTGCAAACCTTGAAAGAATTCCAACAAAATGATGGTTTTTGTCGTAGTATCATGGACAATTCAAACAGTGACTCTAATTACAAAGTGATTAACGACATTGTGGTGACCAACTCTGTAAAACCAAAGTGTTTTGTGCCTGTTGCCGCCCGTTTATTGGCTATGCAATTTTACCATGATAAGTCTTCACACATTGGATGGACCAAGTGCATTGAGAAGATGCGCGAAGATTTGTTTTGGCCAAAAATGGGCCAGTGTTTGAAGAAGTACATCCGAAACTGCAGATCTTGTGTTCTTGGAAAATCGCACACAGGCCCTAAAACTGGATTATGGCAGCATGGTACACAACCGACAGATATTTTAGAGACCTGGCACATCGACCATGCTGGACCTCTAGTTAAATCGCAAGGATGCACTCAAATTCTTGTGATAATCGATGCTTTTTCGAAGTATTGCCGTCTCCATCCGATACCGAAAAAAACGACTGATGATTCAATTTGTGCGCTAACAGCAGTGTTCGCAGAATTAGGAAAACCACAGCGACTTATAGCTGATCGAGCTTCTGCCTTTACGTCTATAAGTTTCCGGAATTTCTTGAGCGAACAAGGTATTGAACTTCATCACATCGCTACTGGAGTTCCGCGAGGAAATGCCAAAGTGGAGCGCCTCATGCGAACTGTTTTCAACCTTTTACGTGCAACGTTAACACCAGAAAAGGAAAAGAATTGGCCGACTGCACTTGCTGCTATTGAGGATGATCTCAATGTGACTGTCCACGCTACGACTGGTCACGTGCCAGCAGTCCTACAATTGGGACTAAACCCACGGCTTGCTGCTACTCGAGAATTTTTGGGTGATGCACCGCCAGATGACAATTTTGTCGATCCCGAAATGGCCGTCAAGGAAGCCCGAGTGCGAATGAGAAAAGCAGCAGAGGACCAAGCACGACGATTCAACGTGTCACGTGTTGGTGCAGACTTGTTTCGAGAAAACGATGTCGTAGCAGTAGAAGAATCGCAATTGGCTGGAGGAGGAAAACTCAAGGCAAAGTTCAAAGGCCCTTATACTGTGTGGAAGGTCCTGCCCAACGAACGATATGCGTTGGTAAAGAAGGGGCATCGATCTACTGTCGCCGCCCATGAGCAGCTGAGACCTTGGCCCTCTGCGGAGCACCAGGTGTAAAAAAACAGGTATGAAATGTTGCAACAATTGTCAAATGTGTTGCGGACATTTTTGAGAATTGAAGTGCTTATGTGCTGAAAACTTAAATGAAAAATAAGAGATCGGGACTAGAGTTTGGGGTCTGGGATCGGGGACCTGCAGGGTCGGGTCAGGGATCCGGGATCGGGAACTCCTGGTCTTGAATTTCAGTTGTTAAGCACTCAAAATAAAAAGAAATAGTGGAGAGTTGAGGTAGAGTCCGGGACTCGAAGCAGGGACCCAAAGTCAGAGATCCGTGATCAGGGACCCACAGAGGTCAGGGATCTGAGATCAGAGGCTAGAGGTCAGGGATTCAGAGTCGGGGATTCACAGAGCAAATGTTCAAAAATTTTAACATTAGAAATAGTACAACATAAAGAAAAGGAGATTCTGTTTGTGTTTGGACTTGCAGGTGACACCTGGCAGTCTGCACAGGCGTCGCGAGGACGCTCCGATCGCAGAATGGCCGTGTTAGGGATGCCTTTAGTTCCCCTAGTGACAGAAGGGGTTCACAAGAGGGTTTGACCTGAATCACCAACACTGGCGAGAGTGTATGGCGCAGGACAGCCGAGAACAGCCGAACGAGTGCGTCTGCGCGGGAAAAACAGGAGTAGTCATGTTGTTGGTTGAGACAGCCATTAGCGCGTACAAAAGATCCGAGCAATAAAGAAGTTTAAACAAGTGGTCGTTTACCCTTATCACAACCCCTAATCATTACATACGTATAGTTTGGGTTTCTGCGAAAATTTTGATGCGCAAGGTAAAAATCAAAACCGATTCATAAACTACAGGTACAAGAGTATGTTATTTTATAAAATTTAAACTGCGTTTCTTAAAAAAAATCGAATGGACATCGTTAAATCATTAGTGGAGATGACCAAACAAATTTTGGTTAGTATTTTACCATACAGGATATACCTAACATACAAAGAAAATGTGACAACAATCTATCTTTTGGTTTGGAGATAATCTGTCTAATAAAAGCGACACAGTCGACAGAGACGAAAAAGCGAGATAAACTTTTTTGTATTTCAGGGGTTATGAAATGTAGAGAAAACCTGAAAGTAGCCATTCGTCGAATGGACTGATGCTTTTACGCTTTATTACGTTACGTTCGAGAAATAAAAAATATACCTAATCTCTCCATCTGGCTACAATCCGTCTTTTGCTCATAAAAATTTTGTTTCTACGCCTAAAATATTTCTCAGACGATTAAAATAACTTGACACCCAACATTATTAATCGACAATTTGTTTAGGTCCCACCAGTTTGTGAAACATGGAAGCGCTAAAAGCACGCTTCGATCTAACAACGCATACTGAAACCGTTAAAAAAAAACGGAATCAGCAGTTACATAAATTAATTACCGGTATGTAAACAAATCAGAAAGGTGACAGATACTTCAAACAGATTTTCTTCGTCAGTGTTAAGGGTACGAAAGGCGAAAAAATGGAAATCGTGGTATAAGCAGTTTTTACGGACGAGAAAATGCAGGCAATTAGAATTGCGTTTATGAATACAATTTATTTTTACAGTGACTTGTTGTCACGTTTTCAAAAATTTGAAGAAAAACGTAGACAATCTAATTATGTTTAGTTTGCGCCTAATAAGTGTCTGAAAGTGTCTGTTGCAAAACCAAAGGAGATGCTTTTGTAATTTTGGAAAATTTGAAGGCTTCCGAGTTTGAAATTTTCCATAAAACGTTTGTTTTGGATGAAGACCACGTTCGATTGATATTTAAAACGTGTGGACGGTCTCATGTTATTCGTATGTTTGCATGAACAGAATCCTGAGTAGTTTGACAGCCTCTGTAAAGGATGCTGTAATGTCTATATGGATTTCTAAAGAATGACTTATTTATTAAACACATGGCTAAGGTGACAAATTTGGAAAATATTTTGATACACACTTCTCGGACTTTTTTGAGGACGTCGTTTCCGAAATAAGTTGTATACGAGCATTATGATTTCTTGTAAAAGCAATTTAAATTAATCTTAATCGTTTGATTAACAAAAACTGAATTGTCTTGTTACCCGAGAATCAACCTTGAGTAAATTAACTCTGGCGTAACGATTCAAATTGTAATAGTTTTCTAAAAATTAACATTTTTCACAGAGTTAAGGGAACACTAAAAGCCTCATAGATATTCGACTGATATATTTTCAAATGCTGCGTGTTGGTAGCCCTGTGTGTGATTTACCGTACTGTCTGAATTCAGGTGCGTTGAAGAAAATATTCAACAACTTTAATGATTGTCTTACGAGGTTCCTATGCCAGTTTTAATTTTTTGTGAAAAGTATGGGTGATGATTCCGAAAAACATTTCCCATTTTTGGCTTTGAAGCATCACTGGAATAGTATATTAAAACATAAGTGCAGAAGGCAAGCTATTCCAATGCAAGTTTAAGTTTTAAACACGAGTCGCCTTAGCGGCGAATGTTTGAATCAACAAGCGTGGGAATAGTCTTCTGCACGTATGATTTATACTATTTTCTATGTTTTGACCCTTATTTACATTAATTTAGCTTTTTTACAATAAAAACTGCAAAGATTTTAGCCTTGGGGATTTTTTTTTGGTAAAATAGTTACCGTTGGTGACTTGTCATGGCGTCCAATTTAAACAAATGAATAATTGTTTATTGTCAGCGATTATTGCAATTTTTTAAAAATAAAAAATTTTTTACTAATAACATAAACTGTAGGTGACATCAAATGAAAAAAGGCCAGAGACGCCCCCTGAGCTGCGCGATTTGGCTGCATCGGTAACAAACAATTTGGTGCCAGCCAGGGGCGAAGAAAGACTGTCGTACCAATTCCTTAAACAAAAAGTCACCAAAAATTGAATTGGAAGAGAGTCTCTTATTGCATGATGGAAAATGCCATTCCAATGTCAAAACAGAGAAAAAATATTCTACATTTGGTTTGGTTGTGTCTCTCTCAATATAAGAATGAAGTTGACTAATAAGAGTGAAGATATTGTTACCAAATAAACCCATACGCCGGTCCGGTACGACGCCTATGGGTTCTAGTATGTACAGAGATGATGGATGACTCACCGTCGGTGACGGCAGCCGGACGGCGTTCGCTAAAGAAGAGCCTGAAAGCGGAAGTCGCGAATGGGTGCGTCAGACAAGTCTAGAAGCGTAACGGAGACGTTTCGGAAAGGAGCGCGTGACTGTTTAAATAGGAACAGGCAGATTAGTCTAGACAATGGAAGAAGAAAAGTCTAGTCAAATCCATTCCAGTCGGAATTATTTTGTACATACTCGCTCTGTAATAAGTCGTGTAAATTCGAGTTATTGGGGAATAATTTGTTAAGTTTAACCTACGCCGATTTTTAATACCCGTTCAACGTAACAATATTGTTGATTTAACCGATGGAATTGAAAGGACATTAAGGCGAAACAACATTTCTGTTAGTGATTATTTTAGACAGTCTATCTCTAGAACCACTGAAGTAATTATTGTAAACTTTGCAGCGTATTTTACGAATATCGTGTAGTTGGTAAAACGATAACCAAATTTTGATGTTTGTCCTTACCAAAAAATTGATTACGGTATCTCAAATGATTAGATAACTTGACACTCGTATTTATTCAGCCAACTTTTAACGCCAGTTCGTGAAACATGGAAGCGCTAAAAGCACGTGCCGACCTAATATCACACATCCAAACCGTTTCAAAAGAAAACGGAATCCAGAATTACGTCATTACCGATGTGCAAACAAATCAGAAAGGTGAGGGATACCTCGGGCAAATTTTCCTCGTCAGCATCAAAGATGCGAAGACCGAGAAACAATTGGAAATCGTGATAAAAGCAGCTTTCACGGACGAGCAAGTGCGGGCAATGATACCTATTAGAATGTCATTTCTAAATGAAATTTACTTTTACACTGAGGTGTTGCCAAGTTTTCAGAAATTGGAAGAGAAGTGCAGACAATCTACGAGTTTTCAATTTGTGCCTAAATGTTTGAAGGTTTCTTTGAAAGACCAAGAGGAGATGCTGATTTTGGAGAATTTGAAAGCTTCTGGGTTTGAAATGTTGGATAAAAAGCTTACGCTGGATGAAGATTACGTTCGCTTGATTTTTAAAACGTATGGGCGGTATCATGGTTACTCATTTGTTTTGCGTGATCAGAATTCTGAGGCGTTTGAGAGGATCTCTCAAGGATGCTGTAACGTTTATGCTGAACTTTTAAAGAATGATTTCTTTAATCAACAAATGGCTGGAGTGGCTAAGTTGGCTCAAGACATTTTGTTACCTGGAGAAGATGATGAAATTATCGAAAAATTTGAAAAATATTCCGGTGCAAACTTGGCGGACACTTTCAAGGATATCGTATCAAAAGAAGTGAATGCTTATTCGGTGGTTTTGCACGGAGATTGTTGGAGCAACAACATGATGTTCAAATACGAAGTAAGTCATAGGCAAACATATTTTTTTGTAAAAACAATTTAAATTGATCTTAATCATTTAATCAACAGAAATTTATGTACTGTCTGGTTAATCGAGAAATAAAAACCTTGAATAAATTAAGTCAGATGTAACGGTCCACTTTATACAAATTTTCTAAAAACAAATGTTTTTTGCAGAATTCGTTGAACAATAAAAAGCCCACAGACGTGCGATTAATAGATTTTCAAGTGTTGCGAGCTGGTAGTCCAGTATGTGACTTATCGTACTGCCTATATTCTGGAGCATCAAAGAAAATATTTGACAATTTGAATGATTACCTGAAAATTTACTATAACAGCTTTTCATCCTTTGTGAAAAGCCTGGGCAGTGATCCTGAAAAGCTGTTTCCATTTGAAGCTTTGGAGGATCAGTGGAAGAAATATGCAAAATTTGGCATGATGGTGTCTCTATCGATTATAAGAATGAAGCTGATTAATACTGAAGATGTTGTCGATTTAACCGATGAACTTGAGGTGGATCAGTTTGCTGATGCTTTGGCGAAACAAAAATTTGATGAAGAAACTTACAGAAAGAGGACCCGAGAGCTTTTGTGGCATATGTCTGAAGTGGATGCGCTTTAGCAGAATTTTATTAACAACTTGACATCTAATTTGATCGGTACGAAATAACGTTACGAATTATTCGGCTTTACACATTTTCGTCTAAGATAGGTACATGACGCTATTTTCTCTGCCTTAAAATGTGATAAGTTGATATAATGTAAAAACGTTTCAAATTATAATAAAGTAGTCATAAATAACTAAACTGATTAAAATCTTTATAGACACCTCTACTCTTGTCTCTTCGATGTCTTAACCGTTTTAAGGTTATTAATTTTTAAGCTTGAGTTTTAGGTGTTGTTTTTAAAGAATGTAATAAATTAATAACATATTTGTTTTTGAAGTTTTACAGTTTTTTTTTGAGGAAGGGGGAGGGGGGGGGGGCTATTATACACAGAGGTTTACTGGCTCATTGTGTGCTACCTCCTAAACGTTGAGTCCTAAACGAGCCCTGTGCTTTTATCCGAATACAATTTATAGGTGCATCTCGAATTTGAAAGTCTATGTGTTTTTTCCTGATGTTAACAACTTCCAGACAGGAACAGAGAATGTGCACGGGGATCTCATGGTCCTCTAAGCGTATGCTGCATTTGCTATCGGAAGCAACGTCGATGGTATACGTGTGTCTGTTTACAGGTTTGTGTCCAGTGAACGGCCTTACTACAAGTCTGAGATCCTTTTTACAAAATCTCGGTAACTCTTCGCTGTGTTTTTTATCAGACCCTTCTCGAACAGCCCGGATTTACGCAGATTCGAGGTCATTCTTGAAGTTTACATAATTTTTGTTTGAGTGTTTTCTTTTGGGGGCTTTTGTTAAGCTTGAGAGAAATACTTCTGAGATCAGCCAGTACAATTATGGATCGGTATATCCTCAAGTGGGTAAGCAAAACTACCGAGAGCGACTTACACAATACGAACATATTCCGAAGTGCGACGTGTGATTTCCGAAAAGTCTGTTGACTTGTTTCACTGTAACAATATCTCAACTAACTGCAACGATAAAACTCTGGAATATGGAATTCCAAATTAAAGACTGTATAAAATCAAAGTCAGAACTCTCGGAAAGTTACTCTCAAGTGGACAAGTAGGTTTAAGGCCGGTTCCGCACCTGTAAAGGTCCTCTCAGAGCCCTGCTTTGCCAGAGCGTTGGACGTTTCATTTCCTTTATGGCCCATGTGTCCAGGTATCCATCTGAACACGACTTTTTTGTTGTATTTTCCAAACAGTGTCAGTAAAAAAGCAAATTCCTTAGGGTATTTATTACAAAGAAATTTTATAAATAAAACCAAGTGTACGCACCACGGTGAAAACGTTAAAAGTTTTGTAAGAACAGTACTGGACTTTGTAAACAACGTCCTGTGTTAATAGTAAATCAGAATCGTTTAGAGGCCCTTTAGCAAACAATAACTCGTCTTCCCTATGGAAATGATCTTTCCAGACGGTTTTATTCTGCACGCTTAAACACAGTGTCATTGCCCATATTGAAAGAGAAGAATTAGAGGAGATGCAATTTTCACCTTCAAATTATTGAGATTATTATTGCGTCGACGTAGAATTTATTCACTTTTACCCGCACTACAGAACTAGAGGTTATAGAAAAAGAGAACTTTCGCATAACTGTTATGCAACACTTTGTAAAAAACCGAGTGTCTGACATTTGGATCAAGCAGTACAAACTTGTACAAAAATTAAAATTTGTTATACCGGTTATATTTGTAATTTAATTTTTTTAGTAATAATAATAGTAATAAATCTAAGCTCTCACGTGGTTATAGAATTTTTGTCAACTAGACAGTTAGATCAATTTTGTCAAATTTAACAGTAACAACAAAAACAATATGAACTCTTTGATTAATAGATTAATACCATGCTTTTAATAATCAGTATTTTAGATTGTTTTAAGAGGTTGCTTTAGGTGCTCTGTTTAAGCAACAAACTGTTAAAATAAACTAAATAAACATTTCCGTACTTCCCACAAATGTATGTAGTTCGTTCCTCACAAAAGTTATTAGGTATCTCAGTATCTTGCTGTCTCATATCGTGAAGAATTAACACCGCAACCCGCCATTCATTTATAAAATTTTCCATTCGTATTCCTAAAAATACTTCTACCATGATCAGATAACTTAACTCTCGACAATAGTTATTTAACCAATCTGTTTAGATAGCGCCAGTTCGTGAAACATGGAAGCGCTTAAAGCAAGCGCCAGCTTAACGTCACATATCGAAACCGTTTCAAAAGAAAACGGAATCAATAACTACGTAATTACCGATGTTCAAACAAATAAGAAAGGTGAAGGGTACCTTGGACAAATTTTCCTTGTCAACATCAAGGATCCATACGGCGAAAAACAACTAGACATTGTGGTAAAAGCAGCTTTCAAGGACGAGAAAGTGCGGACAATCCTGCCCATTAGAATGTCTTTTCTAAACGAAATTCATTTTTATACTGACGTGTTACCGACTTTTCAAAAGTTAGAAGAAAAACACGGGGTGTCCATACAATTCCAGTTTGTGCCCAAGTGTTTGAAAGTGTCTGCGAAAGTACAAGAGGAAATGCTAATTTTGGAAAATTTGAAGCCTTCTGGTTTTGAGATTTTCGACAAAAAGCTTGTTTTGGATGAAGACCACGTTCGATTGATTTTGAAAAAGTATGGACGGTTTCATGGTTATTCATTTGTTTTACGTGATCAGAATCCTGCGGTGTTTGAAAGACTTTCTAAGGGATGTTGTAATATTTATGAGGAAATTCTAAAGGAAGAGTTTTTTGCTAACCGCAGGGCTGAGATGGCTAACGTGGCACAAAACTAATTGATACCCGGAGAAGATGATGCAATTATAGAAAAATTTGCAAAGTATTCCGGCTCAAACTTAACAAACATTTTTAAGGACGTCGTATCAAAAAACGTCGATTATTCGGTGATTTTGCACGGAGATTGTTGGAGTAATAACATGATGTTCAAATATGAAGTAAGTCGTGCACACACATTATATTTTTTGTTAAAGCAATTTAAATTAATCCTAATCATTTCATCAACAAATATTAAACTGTTTTGTTACTCAAGAAACAACCTTGAATAAATTAATTCCGATGTAACGATCCAAAGTATAATTCTTTAACAACATTTTTTGCAGAATTTAGCGAACTCTAAACTACCCACTGACATGCGACTGATAGACTTTCAAGTACTACGGGTTGGTAGCCCTGTATGTGATTTGTCGTACTGTCTATATTCCGGGGCATCGAAGAAAGTATTAGACAATTTGAGTGCTTTTCTCAAAGTTTATTATGACAGTTTTTCATCTTTTGTGAAAAGCATGGGCAGTGATCCTGAAAAACTGTTCCCATTTTCAGCTTTAATGGATCATTGGAAGAAATATTCAAGATTTGGCTTGATCGTGTCTCTAACAGTTATAAAAGAGAAGTTAACTCCCTCCGAAGATGTTATTGATTTAACCGATGCCCTTGAAATCGATGGTCATATTTTAACGAAACAAAAATTCGATGAAGATGGATATAGAAAAAGGATACGAGAGCTTTTGCTGCATATGTGTGAAGTGGATGCGCTTTGACAAAATTTCGTTAATTATATGTGGCAACGTGTGTGATGGAAAACAGGACTTACTAGTTATTCATTTTTCATATTATCGTTAGAAACTGTGACACTGAATTGTATCCTTAATTACAAAATGACTTTCAAGGTATACGTAATAAATTACTCATAAATAGCTAAATTGATTAAAACATTTCATTTTGTAACTTTTTACATGTCTCTATTACCTACAGGATGGTAACAAATGTTTATTTACATGCATTTCGCTCAATTACTATAGGGAAAATATCAATGAAAGAGGGTGACGTAAATTCGACTTTCGGAAACCGTCCCTAAATTTTATAACGTTTTGTGTTAATAAAGTGTTTTAATTTGAAAAATGTACACGTTATAGAACATAGTATATCAATCTTGAAATATTTATCAAAATTTGTTCGAAAGTTTGCTCTCTTTGAGTCTAATTTAGTTGATAGAAACTTTTGGAAAATATTCAAAGAAAGCATGAAGATTTTTTTAAGTAAACTCACGTGTTGGACTGAGTTACAAAAAGTGGAAATATTTTGTTTCTTCGAACGTCAGATTATAATTTTTTTGGTTTAAGAAAAAACGGTTTTCTCAACCTGAGAAGGAAAAATATGATTTAACAAATAGGTATGTTGTTAACCGGGTAACAGTTAGTTATCTGCACAGCAACCCGCCTGCTGTTACGCATCAAATTTCGCTGTCGTCCATCTAAAAATACTTCACAGACGATTTTATAATTTCACAATCAACCAATCTGTTAGATCGCGCCAGTTTGTGTAACACGAAAGCAATAAAAGCACACTCCAACCTAACATCGCACATTGAAATTATTTCAAAAGAAAACGATATCAACAGTTATGTTATTATGCTATTAAGTTATTATCTATTACCGACGTGCAAATAAACCAAGAAGGTGAGGGGTACCTTGGACACCTTTCTTGTGAGTACCAACAATTCAAAGGGTGAAACATAACTAGAAATCATGGTAAAAACAGCTTTCACTGGTGCCTATTGAAGTGAAAAATTTCGACATGTTCAGTTTGTGCGCAAGTCTCTGAAAGTTTGTGAAAAAAAATTAGAGGAGATGCTAATTTTGGAAAATTTGAAGATTTTCGATAAAAAGCTTGTTTTGAATGATGATTTTTAAGCCGGGTTCATGGTTATTCGTTTGTTTTGGGTGATCAGCACCCAGTGGAGTTTGAAAGTCTCTCTAAAGGATGTCGTAACGTAACGGAGAACTTAAAGAAAATGATTTCTTGGTCAATTACATGGTTGAAATGGTATGCCACAATATATTCCGTTGCTTGGAGAAGATGATCATATAAAAAAAAATTGAAAAATATTCCGGTATAAACTTACCAAACATTTTTGCACGGAGACTGTTGGAACAACAAGAAGATGTTTAAATATGAGGTAAGCCCTACGCAAATAATACACTCGTTTAAATTTATTTTAATCATTTCATCAACAAAAATTGAATTGTCTTGTCACTTGAAAAATAGCCTTGAATAAATTAACTCTGATGAAGCAAGTAGTTCAAACAGTACTAATTTTTTTACATTTTTTTTGCAACAGAATTCAGCGAATACTAAAAGCCCCATAGATCTGCGATTGATAGATTTCCAAGATTGCGAGCTAGTACCCGTATGTGTGATTTATCGTACTGTTTATATTTTGGAACATCCAAGAAAGTTTTGGACAATCTGAAAAACTTTTTTAAAGTTTACTGCGCCCATCTGCATCTCTGACAAACCACTGGAAAAAATACTCAAGATTTGACATGATGATGCCTTTATCAATTATTATAAAATGAAGTTGACTCATACTGAAGATATTGTTGATTGAATTGATTTACTTGAAATGGATCAGTTCGCTGATGCTTCAGCGAAACAAAAATTTGATGAAGAAGGTTGCAGAAAAAGCATATGAGAAATTTTGTGGCTCATGTGTGGCACTTGACAAAACTTCAGTAACAATGTGTCGAAATTGAATGTTAAATGATTCAATTTTGTAAATTATTGTCAAGAGCTGCAAGATTAAATTATATGAGTGAAACTTTTTTGCAGTTAGTTATCTAATGGAACATGTTGCAACAGAAGCTGCAAGTGAGACCTATTTAGCAAAATTTTGATACGACGTTATCCATATGTTAGTGAAGATTAATAAACAAATTTTGGTTTGGAGGCTAACCAAATTAATGAAGAGTTTCGGTTAGTCTTAAAACAAACTCAAAGTTTCACGGATGTTGATACATATATACATTAGTTTCGGAGATCATCTACTAAAGTGAAGGTTAGTAAAATGCTGTACTTATTCAGATTCTAAACCTCCATTTTTAAAAATAGTGAAACAGCAATTTTCCTGATGTAATCGTAATAAAGATTAGTTCGAAGTTTACTAGAGTTTTTACAAAGCAAAGATTGTAATTTGTCTCATTATGAAATAATGACATAATTATCTTTTTCAACCTTTATGAAATAATGCGGTACTTCAAGACTATGGAAAAACGATGTTTCATTTTGCGCACTTTATGTCAAGTCACATTAACTAAACAGATTTAATAATCATCCGCAACATCTACATTATCATTTGTTGGCAGTAACAAGCTATTACCATGTTACGTCATTTTACACGATGAGATTCATCAGAGAGTCTATAAATAGTAGTACTCTACCACCAACAACGTACGTTCAATTCATTCAGCGACCAATCTGTTCATTCGTATCACACAACATGGACGTATTACAAACACGTCCTGCGATATTATCGTTAATAAAAACCGTCTCCCAGGAACACGGAATCAACAACCATGTGATCACAGACGTAAAAACAAATCAAAAAGGTGAAGGATATCTCGGAGAAATTTTTATGGTTACGGTGAAGGATACAACTGGTGATAAGAAACAACTAGAGATGGTAATAAAAGCAGCTTTCATTGACGAAAAAGTTAGGGAAATGGCGCCAATTAGATTGTCTTTCGAAAACGAAATCTACTTTTACACTTCCGTACATCCTATATATGAAAAGTTGGACCAGGAGAAAGCAGTGTCTCCCAAGGTTTTGTACGTACCAAAGTGTATAAAAGTTTCGGTGAAAGATCAAGAGGAAATGTTAGCCTTGGAAAATTTGAGGGTTTCTGGATTTGAAATTTTCGACAAGAAGCTGGTTCTGGATGATGAACACGTAAAATTGATTTTTAAAACTTATGGGAGATACCATGGTTATTCTTTTGCTTTACGGGACCAAAAACCTGAAGAGTATGCCAGAATAACTAAAGGATTCTATAACATTTACGACGAGTTTATGAAAAATGATTACTTCGGGAATCATTTAAAGGACGTAAATAAGTTAGTACAAGCGACTTTGGTACCTGGAGAGGACGACAAAGTCATCCAAAAATATGGAAAATATACCGACGATAATGTTGTTAAAATTTTTGGTGACATAACACGACAAGATTTTGACTATTCTGCAATTCTGCATGGAGATTGTTGGAGCAATAACATGATGTTCAAATATGATGTAAGTTAATTATTAAATAAGAACCACAAACATTTATTATTGCGAATTTTTCATCACTTAGATAATAACAACAGTAGCCAATCATACGTAACGTCCGTTTATTCTGTGTACTGGCCTTGACTCACCAAATAATTATTACATAAAGCCTAAATTACTACAATTGACTTACGTAACAATTTTTTGTAGGACACGGCTAATGGGAGGAAACCTGTGGACATGCGCCTGCTCGATTTTCAGTTAATTAAAGTTGGAAGTCCTGTATGTGATTTATCTTACTGTTTGTATTCCGGTGCATCGAAGAAGGTTTTCGACAATTTGAATGAATATCTTCAGATTTACCACGACAGTTTGTCGTCCTTCGTGAGAGAATTGGGGAGTGACCCTGAGCGACTTTTTCCATTTTCAGTCCTTAAGGAGCATTGGAGAAAGTATGCAAGATGGGGAATGATCATGAGTTTTGCTATTTTGAAGATGAAGTTGATTAACAAAGAAGATCTCGTTGATTTGACGGATGGATACGATATGGATGAACTTGTTGATGTTTTTGCTAACGTGAAGTTTAACGAGGAGGATTATAATAAGAGGATTAGGGGGCTTTTGTGGCATATGTATGAAGTCGAAGCCTTGTAATAACGGTTGTATCGTTAGTGGTTTTAATTGAATTTAAATTATTTTTGTTGTTATTTTGTATTCACGTGTCAGGTTATTTTTATCCTTATGAATACACTAGAGCTGTGATTGTAGGAAATTTTTTGATAAAATTGGAGGTTTGCTTTAGATAAGTTCATGGTAAATAATTATATGTGTATACGTACGTTTTTAAGCGTAAACTTAGTGGAACTCTACTTTTAGCTAGAGTAAATTTAAAATGTACAAATAAACAAATCCACGTTATTTGAAAAAGAAACATTTATTCATGGAAAATTCCTTTCCTCATTATTATTTACAAATCTAATTAGTTTTCATTATTACCTCGTAAAGATATAAACCATGTCCATTTTTTAAGTATGTATAAATTTGTAGACTAATGGAAAAAACAAATAAAAAGAAAAAATAGATATAACAAATTTTAAAATATGGTTTTAGACGTCCTCGATAGCTAAATAATGAGGGGAATAAAATTTTTAAGTAGAGTTCTGTTTTTGAGGCGTAACGTTTAATTTAGTTTTTTAGACTGAACATCAATATTTCTTTACATACCCTGATTGGTCTCTTTTTCGGTTTTACAGGCCAATTTTGGTTTTGAAATTTTGATGCTACGTTATCAAATTATTCAAATTTTCATGAAATTTTTCAACAGTTGGAAGGTCTACAAAAAATTGCAATATGATTGTTAACATTCAATTTTTAGGGTGTCAAAGAAGTAAAATTTTTTAAAGCCGTAGTACCCAATTTTAGTTAGTTTTTTTAATATATTTTATTTCTGTCCGAAAATATGGTATACATTTTACAAAATTATTATAATTAACGAGTGATGACCAGCAAATTATAATGAAGTAATTTTGTTTGCAACTTGTATAATAATGGAACATCATATAGATAGATAAGAAAATTACTACAATAACAACAATAAATCGACATCCGCTGAATTAAAAAAATTAGAGATTTTAGAAAGATTAATTAAATTATATAAATTATTTATTATAATAAATAATAATATATTATAAATAATCTAAATTATTTATTTATTTATTTATTTATTTATTTATTTATTTATTTATTTATTTATTTATTTATTTATTTATTTATTTATTTATTTATTTATTTATTTATTTATTTATTCATTTAATTTTAAGTATAAAATTCCTCATCTTAATAAATCCAAGCTTCAGCGTGAGGGAAGGTTACCAACGAGATTTGTATGTTCTCCAGAAGTTCGAAATAAAGTCTCATTGCATATGAATTGAAATGCATTACGTTATGACAGTATTATTAAATAAAGTTACAAATGTATACCATATTTTCGGACGGAGGGAGTAATAATTTACAAGTGTTTTTGTTTTTTCTTGATGATTAAAAAAAAAACACCCCAGAATTAAGTAGATATTTCAACTTTGGTTGTAAAGACAATAGTAACATTTTTGGAAAACATCCAAAATTCGCGTTTCGCCAACACGTTGGCATTATCTAGACAAAGCTAAAATGATTTGCGGATTGACAGTTAGAATATACGTAGATGGAAGAATTAATCTTCGCAGATCGCTGGTGTACATATTAAAATACAATAACTCAAATAACTTTTCAGTGTAGACTGTTATTAAATTAATTACTAGAACTTCATAAATAATAAAAAACAAAGAAAAAATGTGACTGTCTACATGTTTGATAATGATAAAATAAAACAATGACGATTGTTTTAAACTTCCACTAAATCATTTGTTGATTCTAATTAATATTTAAATTGTTTCAATGAAGCAAAAACTGTCGGTTTACCGTGGAAAATTCTTTGCCAAACTTGAAAGTCAGAAGTATTTTAAAATACGCAGTTATCACAAAATTTATTTTTCCTAATTAGCTTTTCCGAATTTCAAATTAAATGTACACAGTACTCTTAAAAAATCTCTTTCCCCAGTTTTCTCTATTAAATTAATGTTTGACGAATGAAAATTTTTGCGTGATTTTTATCAAATTTCTGCTTGATGTTCTGATAAATCAGTTTCAAAGTGCAACTAAGGTCGAACGGTATCTCACTTAGAAGGTCTCTTATTTCTGATTACAGCATCACTGTAAATAACATACTTTTCTGGAAACGATTATTTTTCGATACACATAAAACTCATTCTTGTTGATTTACAGTAATTATTTCTTATATCAGATATGACACGTTATATTGCAGTTTAGATTAAAGAGGCCACACATAACATCGGCGTTACTCAAAAGAATTTTGATAAATGATTAATGTTTATTTACTAAGTAAGCGATAATTTTGTTGTTTCCATAATAACTCAACGCCGTTTAAGGTTAATATTTTGTTAAAAAAAGGGGTAATGTTAAACACCAATAATGCAGCTGAAATGTATAATTGGTGAACGTCATTTGTATTTTGAGTGTTCCAGTGTTTCCATAACTTTTATTCTGATTTTACTAGTAATTTACAAGATTGAAAAAACTTCTAATATGTAATTTTACAAAACTGACTTAATTCTGGAAATTTGAGTTAATATTAGGTAAGAATTTTTTGTTAATTATACCTGTGTATATGTATACGACTATAAAATTACCTGTACTGCTAATTTAATTTAATTTCGTCGGAAGAAAGCCACTTTGATCCACACGATAAACTACATATTTGATAAATTTACGAGACGTAAAATCTACTTTAAGAAACCTGTTGAAACAATTTTGACAATTATTATCGATGATTTATCATTAAGAATATCAGATCTTCAACTACAATTTTTGACACTACTACGACTATACAATATGAGATAACAAGAGTGATTTGCGTCTAACATTACCTTCATTTCTGTGGATAATTGCAATTAATTTCACATTCAACGTTTGTCAAGGTTTCTCTAATAATTTATGACTATGCTAAAGAAATTCAACACTGAGACCTATTTTATTCGAACCAAGCATTTTCTCAAAACATATACTAAGGTTTTAGTCATTATCTCCGAAATTATGCATTTTAAATGAATTTATTTGTAGCCTGTTTTCTAAGCGAACAAATAATTTTGATTGGTTTTACCTCTTTCATGTTAATCTTATACGTAAGACTATTAAAAATTATTATTGCACTCATTTAAAAAAGAATAGTGTGTCAGATATTGCGTCAAGTGTTATTGAATGTACAAACTCTTTCCAAACTTTGCGGTTTGAAAGGAAATATTTAAAATACGACTTGGTGACGTAGAATACGAAGAACCACGTTATATAAACATTCTACAAGTAGTGTAGCTAATACGTTAATTAATACTATTCATAATGATACGTCATCCAGTGTTTAACTGTAAACATACATATATAAATCACTCTCGCTGACCGCCACAAATATACCGCATAGATTCTTCGCGGTTTATTTCTCTTGTGCAAATTTATTCATGGAAGTTTTACCGAAAAGTGCTGTGCTAACACAGTTATTAAAAAGCGTTTCGGAAGAAAACGGAATCAAAAATCATGTAGTCACAAAAGCCAAAACAAACAAAAAAGGCGAAGGCTACCTCGGAAACATTTTTATGGTCACTGTCAAGGATAAGAACAGCAACAGAGAACTAGAAGTGGTAATAAAGGCAGCTTATTTCGACATGAAGATTAGAGCAATGGCCCCAGTGAGACAAGCTTTTCAAAACGAGATTTATTTTTTTACAAATGTGTTACCTGCGTTTGAAAAATTTGCCAAAGAATGTAGTGTGTCCCAAAATATTGATTTTGCGCCAAAGTGTTTGAAAGTGGCCGTTGAAGAACCAGAAGAAATATTGGTTTTGGAAAATTTACTGTCGTCGGGGTTTGAAGTTTTTGCAAAAAAGGCAGTTTTGGATGATCAGCATGTTCGGTTAATTTTTAAAACTTATGGAAAGTTACATGGTTATTCTTTTGCGCTGCGTGATCAAGAGCCGCAGGAATTCAAAAGAATTGCGGAAGGAGTTTGCAACATGTATGAGGGACTTATTAAAAGTGACTTTTTTAGTGATCATTTGGTGGAAATTAGTAAATTAGTGCAAAATACTTTTATACCTGAAGAGGATGCTGAAGTTATGAAGAAATACCAAAAATATAGTGGAAGAAATATTGTTAACACATTCTACGATTTAGTTACACAAGAAGAATATTATTCGGTGATTTTACACGGGGACTGTTGGAGCAATAACATGTTGTTTAAATACGAGGTAAAGGACAAAAATTGCATTTGGGACTAGTTAAATAAGTATACGTTGTGGAACACACGACATACATTCTGTTGCACTTAATTATTTATATATTTACGTATATTTCACAGAAGAGTTCATTATTTCAGCTTATCAAACAAGTCTAAAAAACAGTAAAAAATCGTCTTACACATTTTTGTGTCTGTGAAAAATACCTAAAGATGACAGTATTATTATACGAAACACGATATGTTGAGACTATTGTTTATTGATCTTTGTGTTTGTATAACGTCTTAATTTTCTTTACAGAACACTATCAACAGTAGAACGCCCATACGCATGAAGTTAATCGATTGGCAGTTAATGATGGTTGGTAGTCCCGTCTGTGATTTGTCATATTTTTTATACTGTGGGTCATCTAAAAAAATGTTTGATAATTTAAATGAGTATCTTCACGTTTACTATGAGAGTTTCTCGTCCACTTTAAAAAAATTGGGAAGAAATCCGAAGGCACTGTTTCCGTTTTCAGTTCTCAAGCAACACTGGCAAAAATATTCCAAATGGGGCATGATCATGGCATGCGTGCTTCTAAAGCTCAAGTTGACTAATGATGACGACTGCTTAAATTTAACCGATGGTTATGATATAAATGAAATGTCTGAAGTATTTGCAAATGTAAAGTTTGATGAAGCAGACTTCGGTAAGAGAGTGAGAGAGATTTTGTGGCACATGTCTGAAATTGATGCGTTATAAAGAAATAGATATCAAGTAATGTATTTTTTCACTAGTGAGTTAAATAAACAATATGCAAATACTTTTACATCTGTTGATATAGAGAAGAGTTCAGAAATATTTTAGAGAGTAAGGAATAAAATATAGTGAAGGCCTTTATCTAAGTTTATTCATATAACTTTTGTTTGTGTCTTGAACAAATAGTATCTCTACGAGTTGTAGAAAATGCCACTTTTGTACATTTATTAGAATAAAATAATCACTTGTAAATAATAACTGTTGGTTGTTAATTTATGTGCGTATTTAAAGTGCGAAAAATAAAAGGCCAACGATGTTAACACTAGCGAAGGTATTTATTAACTGACTTAGATATGTACAATATGTGAAAACTAACTTAGTAAAAAAGGTCTCGACATCTGGACGTCGATTTGCCGTGAAACGCCGACAAAGACAAAAGGGTCCAGACTTTCAACCACACAAGTGTCGCACCGGTACTGGGCCAGAGCGTATCTAATTCTGACATATTGCAACACTCCCACTCGCTCTGGTCAGATGAACTAAATAAACAAACACAAGAAAAATTAGAACACACAAATAAAATAATACTTAAGAGAATAAGTCTTAAACTGAATGTAAATTCAACAATTTTAAATTATTGGCAAATTTATCACGGCTTAGCGGTTTCGTGAACATATCCGCCAGTTGTTCCGTTGTCCCAACGTGGTTGATATCAATGTCTCCCCGTTGATAGGCGTCACGTGTGTAGTGGAACTTGACGTCGATGTGTTTGGTGCGTCGATGGTGAACAGGGTTTCGCACCAAATGTTCAGTAGTTTGCTTTAAGTGTAGAGTTTTTGTCCCACGATCGCGCACTATTTGCATACAGTTTGCCACGTCACCGGTAACTTCAAAATTCAGTTTTGGTTTGTTTATGAAACTGTTGACACGTTCCACGGAACTACCGATTACCAGACCATCATCCACGTACAGCGCGAAATAAAGTTCGTTACCTATTGTCAGACGCGTACACACACCGGTCAAACCGAGTAGGGTTCATGCCGAATTCCTTTAGCACTCCGTCGATTTTCTCATGAAACATTAACGGTGCCTGTTTCAGTCCGTATAAACTTTTGTTTAGTTTACACACACAGCCACTACCGTCGTCAAAACCGTCCGGTTGCACCATATATTTTTCCTCTTTTAGTTCACTATAAAGGAAAGCAGTTTTCACGTCAATCTGAAAGAGTTCATAATCTTTGGCCGCTGCGATGGCCAACAATACACGCACTGATTCGAACCGTGCAACGGGTGAAAACGTTTCCGCGTAGTCGATGCCCGCTTTTTGCGAACATCCCTTAATGACCAACCGTGCCTTGTATTTATTGATGCTGCCGTCCGGGTTGGTTTTAATCTTGAATATCCATTTATTTTGGATTGGTCGTCTGTTCGCTGGAAGCTCCACCAATTCCCAAACTTCATTTTTGGCTAAAGATTCCAATTCATCAGCCATTGCAAGCTCCCACTGTTTCGAATCATTCGTGGCTAACGCTTCTGCGAGAGTTTCAGGTGTTTTAGTCACTATTTTCTCACCTTCAGTCAGGAGGGCTGCAAATTGAACTTCGGTAATTTCATCTTTTTCTTCCATCCTTTTCTTTGTCTTAGATCGGGTGTTGTTTACGATGGAGTTTTCATCTGAAGGTACCACGCGTTTCGAGTACGCCGCTCTTGTTGGTGTTGATTGTTCTTCGTTTGTAGCGATTTCAGGTAACAATTGAAGCGGTCTTTTTGGTGGTAATTCGACAATTTTTACGTCACGACTCTTAATAATTACTTTTGTACCTGGCCGCCAAAGTCGATATGCGTGTTGCTCAAATTCATATCCAACTAAGATGAGCCGTTCGCTCTTCTTTTCAAATTTGCTCCGTTTCGACTCGTCAATTAATGCATATGCAGTACTACCAATTTTACGCAAATGACTCAAATCAGGCTTTTGACCGGTCCAGAGTTCGTAGGGGGTTTTCCCTTCGAGACGGGCACGTGGTATTCTATTTCTAATGTGAGCCCCGTTTCTAATCATTTCCGCCCATAGTCCTTGGGGCAGGTTTCCGCTTGCAAGTTGACACCGCACCATTTCATTTAATGTCCTGTTAGATCGTTCGGCCCGCCCATTCTGTTGTGGACAGTACGGTGTGGTCAGTTCTTGGTTAATAAATTTCTTGGTTAACACCGCCTTCATTTCACTGCCCAAAAATTCACCCCCATTGTCCGATCGCACGCGTTTTATTTTGTGTCCATTCGCTTCTGCATCAGCTATTACACTAATCATCGCGTCGACGACGTCGGACTTTGTTTTCATAGGAACTACGATGATCGTACCACTGCAATCATCTGTAAATACAGCTGCGAACCGCGAACCACCTAACGATTCATTCAATGGTCCGATCGTGTCAAAATGCATTAGATCTCCTGGCCGTTCAGCCCGCGAATTTGAGGACGGGAACGGTTGTCGCACGTGCTTGCCGTATACACAGTCTTCGCAAAATGTGTCCTCATTGTCCGTACTATGTTTCGAGTCCACAACTTCCATGCCAGTTATCGCGTCACTTTTGGCCATTTCGCGAACCACTTTAAATGCAACATGTCCAAGCCGTTCATGCCACACTCGAACGTTTTGAGCACTTGCACTTGCGATCATAGCCTCTGCCGTTGCCCGCGCGCGAATATTCATTTCGAATAAACCGTTTTTAGCCAATTGTCCGGTGGCTACCACTTTGCCACGACTAAACAATTGTAACGTGTGTTTGCTGAATAATGCGTTAACACCACGATTACTAGCTGCACTTATTGAGAATAGATTTTTCCCAATTTCAGGCACGTACCACACTTCACTCATGCCTTGCTCCAGTACTTGTCCATTAACGTACGAAGTAATCATTACATCTCCTTCACCTTCCGCGTAAATAGTTTCATTGTTGCCCACTGTGATCGGTTTTCTCTCACTTGCACTAAACTCCCTATAATTTGTAATAATGTCGCGCCGAAAAGTCATGTGTTTACTCGCACCAGAATCCGCGACCCATAATTCGCCCACGTTACCGACAGCCATCGTTTCGGCTGTATACATTATCGCACTCGATGCGCCGCTGTTTGATGCTGCATTCGCTTGGCCATTGTTTTGAGTGTTTTGGGGTTTGTAGCAGTCGATCTTTCTATGTCCCGTCTTACCGCAATTATAACACTTCCCACTAAATCGCTGTTTTGTAGATTGCTGTCGCTGCTGATTTTGATAACGACCACCTCTATTTTTTTGATGATTTTGGCGTTGTCCCCGATTGCCGTTGCTTGTGTAAAGGGCTGAGTTGTCTTCTTCGTCGTTTTTAATCTCGACCATTCCATTTCTCATTGTTTCTAGCTTTAATAACCGAGGAAGAAGGTTGACCATGGTTTGCTCTTTTTCTGGAAGCATATCAAACGCCGCTGCTATATGCTGATACTGTTGTGGTAATGTGTACAGTACTTTCGTGATTATTTGTTCATCGGTGGGTTTCTGATTTAGATCTTCCAGCTGTCTCACCAGCTCTTCGATAGCAGCAACATGTTCAGTAATTGTTGCGCCTGGTCGTATTTGATAATTATAAAATTTTTGGTGTAAAATATGAATCGACGTCTTGTTCTTTTGTTCGTAAATAGTCACCAGTCGTGTCCACATTTCAGCTGCAGTCTTCATATTCATTATATGACGCACAACATTCGTCTCTAGAGCGCACGATAACGCAAATTGAGCTTTCTCGTCTTTTCTGTCCCATTCTTCTTGTTCCTTGGATGTACCTCCCGAATCAGGGCGAGCTTTCATACCTTCGACAACGTCTAACAATTCGTGATACCGCAGATAGGCGCGCATTTGAAACTTCCATACTGCAAAATCGTTGCCGTTAAACTTAGCTATCGCGAACTTATCCATTTTCGATGTGTCTGCTACTATTGGCCGCGAAACCGAACTTGAACACTGACCAACTACAAATCACAACTTCGAATAGGAACTAATCGCTGATATTCCACTAATTGCACTTTTTCAAAATACTAATTGCTCAATACTCGATACGTAATCTGGGCCCATAACCTGTTAATTTATGTGCGTATTTAAAGTGCGAAAAATAAAAGGCCAACGATGTTAACACTCTCGAAGGTATTTATTAACTGACTTAGATATGTACAATATGTGAATCTAATTCTGACATATTGCAACATTGGTGAATGTTACAAACAAATTTTATATAAAAGAAAACTTTTTTTTTGTTTACTACATTGACACATAAACAAATTAACTGACTCATTGATTTAATATCGATTTATGTATATTTAAGTCTGCGAAATCTATGTGTGCAACTCATAGTCATTTCTATACGTCCATCGTCATGGAAATCATTTTCACCGAATGGTGAATGAAAATATTGGAATCAATAAAAGTAAAGCATGATCCAAAAGTTTTCAGATAACGGGAGGCCTGTAATTAATTCAAGTATGCTTATCGTATGTCTTTCCACTAAACTTTTGCTCACATTACACCCCACCTTTATCTGAAAAGTTTTGGATCATACGGTACTTAATTCCGGCTAGTACAAGGGTGGGAAATTTAGAAGCAATTATTTTTACTAGTGCCAGTTACCATGTTTAGGTCTTAAGGGGTGTCCATTGCAATTTTAGAATGTAAAATCTCGATTATTAGCAGACTTATTGTTACGAAATTTTACATATAACCTGTCCAGTCCACAACTTTCTTTATTTAACTTTCATTCGGTTTTTTTAAAAATAGTTTTTCATCTTTAAACAAAGCCCATGTGTGTGCCGAAGAAGGTGCTTTCACAGCATCTCATTTCCGACGGAAAAAGCCGACAATGTTTATCCGAATATTTATAGAACTTTGTAAGCTGAAAACACTGGTGATAACCGCGTACCAAAATTTCCATAAATAACCAAGATTTTGATTTTTAAAGATACGTCCTGAAAAATGTTATCAACATTTTAAGATTAATAGTGTGATTTACAGCGCGACCACAAAGACCATAAGCTTAAACTCTCGGAGATTTATGATGATAAGCTGCAATCGGATGTTTTGACCTTCACAGTGTAAGGGATGAATAGCGTTAATAAGGTTTCGATAAAAATTAAACTTAAGGAACCTTTCACGAGGGCAGTGGCCTCGGTGGACTTGATGACAACAGTA